TACCAAAATAATTTTCAAAACCCGCAAGTATAACAAGGGACCACGATCATTATGGCGGCCCGAGGGGCGGGGGTGGCACCGAAGAGGAATGGTTTTCTTGGTAAAACTTTTCCTGATCCAACCATGAAAAAGTCAATTTTTTACCCAACCTCAAATATCAATTAAAAAATAGGTACCCACCCCTGGCCAAAACTTTACAAAAGGACACCATTCAGTTGTCACACATGTCCTTTACCACTTCTGTGACATGATTTTGCTAACTGCTTGTGCAATTTTCTGCAGTATAAAGTTTCATGTTGTCTGCATGCACATGTACTTTCTGTGGAGACACCATTTGCCTCCTGACAAATCGGAAAATGATCAAGATAGTGACTCATGCACATAAGACTGTTGACATTGCTTTATAGTCGATCAATATTTGAGTGAGTGCTTCGGAAATGACACTAACCTTTCTTACCCAACCCTTGAGTTGTTTTTGTTTTAAACTCAAAATTCTGTTTACCTAACCTTTTTCTCTTCGGTGCCACACCCCGTCATAAATAATGACTGGTTCCTAACTCATATAGTCTTTTAGCCTTAACATGGAGAAGTAATACAATCTGGATAGTTCTGTTATAGAGTTCTATTGGCTAGCATTTTAGAATTTTCGAAGGTAGCGGGTTCGAAACCCAGCCGCGGCAGGCAGAATTTTCTGCTTGCGCGGTTTGGAATCATTTACTCGAGAACACTTCTTATATATGCATGGTCTAGACCAGACTGATTAAGTGAGTTTACATATTTTGAAACAATTCCAACGCAAACATTTTAATTTATTGAACAATAGATACCTAACAACGCAAGCCCTGGGTTATTATTAAAAAGCGAGAAAATCTTTATTGTTCAGTGACGCCCTTGCGGAAATTTGGAATAATTTGCGCAAACGAATTGTTTTTTCAAGACTCACGAAAGAGCTAGTTTATCCCACGCAATACCATATAAAGAGGCAAATTCGTTCTAGAAATCCTACAGTTGCTGTGTTAGGACAGGAATATTCTCTAACCATATACGGCTATAACAACATAAAAATTTACATCATATAACTTGTGAGAAAAAATTGTTTCAAACTTTCGACTGTACTCGTCAAGATGCGCAAAATTAAAAACTGCGCGTCAACGTACATACCAATTTTCCGTAGCGGCGCGAAAAAGTATACCTATCCGATACGGAATGTACAACTTTCAGAAGCTGAGCGAAACAACATCTCTCCGTTGCAATAATTCCTTTGAAAATAGCGTTCCTAAAGATACGGATAGGTGTTTTTTTCACGTCGCAACGGGAAGCTATCCGATACATTGGAAACGTATAGCCCGCCTAAATGACGCAAATTTAAGCCCCGAGAGAATGCCGCAAAAAATTAAATATACAAAGGATAATGCCGATATATTACTGCGCATTTATCTGCCTGTCTATAAGATTATGCTTTTGTGGCAAGTAAAAGACAAAACCTTCATGTATATTCTTTAATTAAATCCATTTTGGAATATTGTTGCTCAGTCTGGGGAAATTGTTCAAAAGAAAATCTTGATAGATTACTGAAATTGCAAAAACGTTGTGCAAGACTTATACTCGATGCCAACACAACTGCAAATTCAGTTAATCTCTTCAATGGTTTAGAATGGCTACCAATTGATGATATTATTAAAACTAATAAACTTCTTATGCTCTACAAGATAAGTCGTGGCATTTGTCCACAATACTTTGAATCCTATTTCACCTATGTAAATACAGTTCATAAATATAGCACTATATAGATCAGCCAATAACAAATTAAATATTATTACGCCAAAATGTAAAAATAATTCTGGCCTTAGAACTTTCCACTCGAGTGCATGTCGTCAGTGGAACAAGACAGGCTTGTCAATTAAGAACATTGCCTCTTATGCAAATTTGAAAAAAGTAATACACTCAAACTTTCAGGAACAATATTGTTCAATTGAACGCTTCTGCACGGAAAAGACTTATTAGAATATTTAGTATTTGTACAAATTTGGTAGATATATTTATTGTATAACTTAGTCTTAGTGAGGGCCGTCATGAAAACTACTGGGCAACCAGTAATGGTGTTTTTACCCTCGCCCCCTCGGTATAAATAAAGTATTTTGACTTTGACTTTGAAAATTGAAATAAATAAAGGTCAAAATTGCTCAGAAAAATTCCGCAAAAATTCCGCAATTTTGTCAAATATATTTCCATTTCATTTTGACTCCCTGCTTTACGGTTGGGCAAATTCTGTCAAGCGTTTAAACAATACTTTATGCTAAACATTATTAATAGTGTTTTAACATTTGTTAATTGTGCAATATTAATAAAATAAACCAATTTTATTCGTATTAACATGAGTGTAATTAAAAAAATTTCGTTTTGGCAGGACAAAGCTTCCGACGAATTTGTCATTTGAGCGGAAAAGTTCACGAGGATTTTGACGCAGAAAAATGTTAACGGTTACTTTTGTAAAGTAAACTATATAACCTGTAAATGTAAGCCCGAAAATGTAAAAAATACACAAATAAATAAACGTAAAATGATATGCGCATTCATTATATGCTAACTTTAAGGCGAACTGCAAACCGTATCTATTACACCTACGCACTCATTAAATGCCAATGAATTTTTACATCGATTTACAACTAATTTCTAAAACTACTTGAAGTTTATAGATGGAATTAAAATTTTGTAACACGTTTTTACGCCGAGTAAAAATTTATTGTAGCATTAACGTGCTTTATTATTTTTTCGCACTGTTTATGAGTAATTTAAATACTTGAGTCTTGTATAAATATAAACAATGTATTTTATATAAAACAAAGAAAATACATCTCACCTAAAAGGCAGTCTTATCGGTCAAGTTTGGCCAGTTTCATGTAAAAGGTCACTAAATGAAGAAAAATTATATTCAGACATTATTCATTAAATAGTCTCAAATAATGATGCTTAATTAATTCGCAAGCCATATACACACTACGAATTTATTCAATACTAAATTGTTGAAACACCTTGAAACTGTGCTATAGCCAAACACCGCAAACTTCCTATAGAGTAAATTGTAAAATCAGGGCAAAATTGTACAAATAAAAAAAAATCAAATAAAGAAAAATACATGAACATTCAATAGTCCTATATATATATATATATATATAGGCGAAAAACTCTGTACTTTTGTCGTTTTGATCCCACACATTGAAACGAGTCTATTATACTAACCCGTATTTGTAATGGCTAATGCGTATAAAATGAATTCAAATTGTCGCATATCATAAAATTTATCTAAACAATAACATTTAAATGAATAAATCCAAGTGCTTACCTTCTAGAAAATGTGTTTAAAATTTCAATGTTTGCGGCTTTAGTTTCGCGAAAGTAGCAAAACTCGTCAGTTCGATATCGAGATGTATATAACACTTGACAGTCTTAAATTAAATCTATATTATTCTATTACAAAGTATCAGAGCTGTGCATTCACTCGCAACATATGAGAACTAAGTATGCGAGCCTGAAAATAAACTTAAAAACCTCTTGGCGGCTTGGACAAAGGCACAAGGCCGCTCTATTTACCGAGGGGGTCCTCACATTTAGCGGCGTAGACGAAAAAGGTCGAAACGCGGCGAGCACAAAGCGAACAAGCATAAAGTTTCCAGCGCATGTTACCCAGTAAACTAGCGGCTTATTACACGTTTAATCGAAGGATAATTCCTTCAAATGTAAACATAGGCTAATTTTTTTAAGCGCAACTAAGGTTGACAGAACGGCGAGCTGCCCTTTGCTGAGCGAACCCGCGACGAACGCGCTTGAAATTCAACGGCATTAAACAACACCGACATTCTATAAGGTGTCAAACTCGCAGAGATGGGGGAACGTGATAGGAGAATTTTTACAAAAAGCTAATAAAATGCAATGCTATGCCTATAGATCAGCAGCGATTAGATGATCTGTAGAACGATTTTAAAACAAAAAAAGTCGCTATCGATGGGCATTTATGTAATTATGGCATTAAATATAAATGAACAAACGAGCGAACGTAGAAAATAATTGGCTATATCTCACACGAGGTTTTTCAGTGGGAAAATTGTGATTTTCACCCTTTTGAAATCAAGCCTTTCGGCTTTGTTGAAATTAGGCAATTCCAGATATAGATAGAACGAGCAAGTTAAAATTAGTAAAATTGCAAAGTTTGGCCGCGAAATGTTGTAAAATGCATGCGGAAAATATAGGGCTGCGAAATTTGCAAATTTTGTATTAATTTGTATTACGCGCAGAAAAATGCACCACATTTGGGCATTTTCCCGTGCATAATACAAATTAAATACAAAATTTGCAAATTTCGCAGGGCTATATATTTTCCGCATTTTACTCAACATTTCACATCCAAACTTTGCAATTTTACTAATTTTAACATGCTCTTTCTAGCTGTGGTGATGGATTTTGTTCATCTTGCCTAGATCAAAATTTAGTCTATATAGCTGGAATCATTAATTTGAATGCCATATTAATGTGCTGAACGAGGGGTCTGTAAACAGAATAGAAGTGATATGATTAATTATCAATTTGACAATTTTTCATGCAGTTCTACTCTTTAATTCATATACGATTAGAAACTATTTTAAATTCCCAGGAGAAGAAAATCTTGTACTTCTGTGGATTCAGTATAATGCTCAGGCATTCAGATTATTACAATAGGAAAATTTCAAAAGGTCTACTTTTTGGGGGACACCCTGTAGGTTATATAGTATATCACTTTGATTAAAGCACATTCTCATAATGTAGTGTGTAAATGTAAACTTTTAAATTTATCCCCTGCCTGTGGATTAACTGCAATAATACATACTACAAATAATGATAATGAGGATATTAATGTTAAAGCATTAACACGTTCTGTTTAATACTACGGTAGGGTTGTGTCTTATGGTGACAAATGATTCTTAAGTTTAATTTTAAATGTTGCATGTAAATTGTTCTGTATCCTCATGGTTGCAAGGAATCGGAAGACTGGTTCCAAGGAATCGGAAGACTGGTTCCAAGGAATCGGAAACTGGTTCCAAGGAATCGGAAGACTGTTCCGGGAAATCGGAAGACTGGTTCCAAGGAATCGGAAGACTGCTATTCCAAGGAATCAGAAGACTGTTGTTCCAAGGAATCGGAAGACTGTTCCAAGGAATCGGAAGACTGTTCCAAGGAATCGAAGACTGTTCCAAGGAATCGGAAGACTGTTTCAAGGAATCGAAGACTGTTTCAAGGAATCGGAAGACTGTTCCAAGGAATCCGAAGACTGTTCCTAGGAATCGGAAGACTGTTCCAAGGAATGGGAAGACTGTTATTCCAAGGAATCAGAAGACTGTTATTCCAAGGAATCGGAAGACTGTTCCAAGGAATCGGAAGACTGTTCCAAGGAATCGAAGACTGTTCCAAGGAATCGGAAGACTGTTTCAAGGAATCGAAGACTGTTTCAAGGAATCGGAAGACTGTTCCAAGGAATCCGAAGACTGTTCCTAGGAATCGGAAGACTGTTCCAAGGAATGGGAAGACTGTTATTCCAAGGAATCAGAAGACTGTTATTCCAAGGAATCGGAAGACTGTTCCAAGGAATCGGAAGACTGTTCCAAGGAATCGAAGACTGTTCCAAGGAATCGGAAGACTGTTTCAAGGAATCGAAGACTGTTTCAAGGAATCGGAAGACTGTTCCAAGGAATCCGAAGACTGTTCCTAGGAATCGGAAGACTGTTCCAAGGAATGGGAAGACTGTTATTCCAAGGAATCAGAAGACTGTTATTCCAAGGAATCGGAAGACTGTTCCAAGGAATCGGAAGACTGTTCCAAGGAATCGAAGACTGTTCCAAGGAATCGGAAGACTGTTTCAAGGAATCGAAGACTGTTTCAAGGAATCGGAAGACTGTTCCAAGGAATCCGAAGACTGTTCCTAGGAATCGGAAGACTGTTCCAAGGAATGGGAAGACTGTTATTCCAAGGAATCAGAAGACTGTTATTCCAAGGAATCGGAAGACTGTTCCAAGGAATCGGAAGACTGTTCCAAGGAATCGAAGACTGTTCCAAGGAATCGGAAGACTGTTTCAAGGAATCGAAGACTGTTTCAAGGAATCGGAAGACTGTTCCAAGGAATCAAATACTGTTTCAAGGAATCGGAAGACTGTTCCAAGGAATCGGAAGACTGTTCCTAGGAATCGGAAGACTGTTCCTGGATGTCAATTGAAAGAAGAATTGTATACTAATTGATATTTTTTTTACTATAATTAGTTTATGCCGGTTTCTCAATCAGCAAATGCATCATGCATTTAAAAAGGCAGTTATAACAATATGAGTGTACAAATTAGAAAATAAAGAAGTAATTTTGAGAGGTATATGTCAAAATGATTTTACGCTTTGAACGATTTTCCGGCATTGCAAATATGCGATGTAGAAAAAAATTGCCTCTTATATTATAATCATACAACCGCACAATGTCATCGCAAGAAATTAACCTCGATCACACCGTCTGCCTTGTCAAATAAACCTTCTAGCAACACATGAGGCATAATAGGAAGATAAACAATAGAAATTATAATATTCATAGGCGCATCATATATAGCTAGCGACTTTATTTGCAGAAAAAGACGCGGTTGAATTAAGACTATATACATATATATGTGTATACAGCTATTTCAATTAAGGTTGTCCCCCGAGCAAAGCGGAAAAGTCGAATACGAGCGCGAAAGGCTGCTGAGAATCGCAAATAAATGAATGAATTTATTAGCGATTCCCAGCAGCTTTTCGCGCTAGTATTCGACTTTTCCGCTTTGCTCGGGGACAACCTTAATTGAAATAGCTGTATGTATTAATGACATATTAGGATCGTTTTATATTTAGAAGAACAGTGGTTGACACTTATTAGGGGGAGGGGTGATTTTAAGTTGCCATTCTACTAGTGCTAAGAATTACATAGAATTTCTACCTTTTACATTTAGAATATTAACTACGCGTTTATAGTAATACCTGTAATTTAAGGTCATGCCAATAAAGCTATTATAAAAAAAACCAACATATGATTATACCTTTTGTTGCTGCAAATTTTAGTTCTTTAATTTAAATTTTGTTGCTATAAATTTCATGCAATATATATAGTTTAATTTATAACCTATCCTATCAATACCTTCATGGTTGAAAAATTATTGTTACACCTATCACTTAAAGGCCTTTAAAATTTATTAGGGAAAGGGGATTTCCCCCTGCCTCCCCCCCCCCCCTAGTGTCCGCCACTAGACATTAAAGCTCCCCCATCGTGAGTAAAGGGTACAACTGCTCCACTGTTCCCCCACCTCGCTGACATCAACATAAATTACGGCAAGGTATTCGGCTATTTAACACGGAGTTTTACAACATTATCGGCAAAACATTTTGACCGCCTTCGCGGGCACAATAAAATGTAGCAAAGAGGCCGTAATTTGTTGGCTTAATAAGCCCTTTCATCAACGGCCGTAATCTGATCTGGAAGCGTCGCTCGCGCAAACGTTTGTAGGAAACCGCCATTACACGGCGAAACCTCAAAAGTACATTACGTTTATTTGTTTTTGTTATGCAAATTCCTGATATATTCATGAAAACCTCAAAACTGCGTTGGAAACTCTTTATATATAAAGTAGGAATAGGCACTTCCTGATGGCTTATACTTCGAGTGCGTACGAAACAATACCCTTGAAGGGTGACAATTTGATCCTATTCGAGATAATTCTGTATATAGTAAGATATGAACTAGGATTTACTGTCGCAAGAGAAGTACTGTCGTATGGCCATGTAAAAATTATCATCTACACTGACTGAAACAGATCACTAATCAAAATTAAGATCGTATGGGGTTGACTTATTCACATTGCAAAACACAGTCGGTATGTCTCATTTTTACTGTCAAAATATTGTCAGAGCAACATCTCTGAGGGATATTTTTTTGTTTTGAGTACATACTCAGGTGAATATAAGGTTTTTGATGTTACTCTGAGTGTATATCTCTGAGGGACTTCGGTGGCGCAAGCGCCTTTCACAGTCTTGAGGTTCGATCCTCGCATCGGACTATAATAACACTTGAAAAGAGTCAGTCAACGCTCTACCGGAAAGTCGTGAGTTTTCTCCGGTGTCCTCCCACAGGAAATGTTGACAGAGTGGGTTGGGATTATCCCCCTAACTGACCCTTCCACCATAGCTGTGCTCCGTGATCAGACATGAGTCATAAGCTGGCTGCCAGAGGTGTCCTTAGTAAGACTTCGACACGATCAGGTTGAGCTTCTTCCTTCGTAATTCAGCCTAGCTCTCAAGTAAGGATGATTAGCATGTACCCCACTTACTTACTTACTTAGCCTGCGAACAGGCTCTCAAGAATTCAGCTTGAGAGCCTGTTCGCAGGCTATTACTTACTATCAAACTTTTATGCTTATTCAAATTAGTTGCGTCACATCTCAAGGTTACAAATACGGCAGAATAAAAACAGTGCTAAAATCCCCATTTCTCGTTATATATCTTAACTTTCTGAAGATGTACGCACATACATTTATACACTGCTGATATAAGAATATCTTGAGCACTGAAAATTTTCCGAAAATATCATTGGTAATAGTTGAAAATTTCAACTTCAAAATTTTTTTCCCCGCTGAAAATTCGTGTCGGCCAATCATATTTTACAAATTTCTCTTTCTGCGGAAAATTTTCCCGAGCGGACATGGGGCTTAGAAGTCCAGATTATATACTAATGCATGTAACTTTGTACACATGGAATCTTCAAAGCAGCCGGCCATCAATTACACCCAGCACCTGCTAGCATATGTACATTTGTCATTGAAGAGAGAAAAAAAATATGCGGATAATTTGCGAACAGCCTCCATATATGTACAAGGTTAAGAAAACAAAGTTTAAAATAGCAGTGACTATCCCGTTATATTCGAGTAACATATGCGGTTTCTATAGGTAACAAAAGATGCAAAAGAAACAACAAAAAGACACGATCAAGGGAACATGACATATACTTATATAAGGCTGTTTTACAATATCTATGTTTCTTTTGATAGTTTTGAAGGACTTGCAAGTTTTGAAGGATTTGTAAGAAATGTTTGAGGTAATTGACTTGGTGTTGGCTTGACAACGAGCTATCGTCCGGTTTGTGTGCAAAGCTATGGTTTCAATTTGACCGTAAATTCTTGATCTATTTGAATAATTGCTATGCCGTTTATGCATTGTTCACATTGTTTTAAAAATTCTTACTGTGGAAATAGTGTATGGATCTTCGTTGGAATTTGTATGGAAATCCAATTTACATACTAATTGTAATTTTCATACCATGGATATAGTATGGAAACATGGATATACTATGGTTATAGTATGGAAATAGTATGGATATACTATGGATATAGTATAGATATAGTATGGAAATAGTATGGATATACTATGGATATACTATGGATATACTATGGATATACTATGGATATAGTATGGATATACTATGGATATACTATGGATATAGTATGGATATACTATGGATATAGTATGGATATACTATGGACATACTATGGATATACTATGGATATAGTATGGAAATAGTATGGATATACTATGGATATACTATGGATATAGAATGGTATACTGATGGATTTAGTAATGCAATCACAAACTCCATAGTATAGATTTCATTATTTTTTCCAGTGGTATTCTGGAAGTTCTTACTTCCAGTCGATATGAATTCCTTGGATTTCTCATAAAAAATCCTTAAATCCATTCTGGGTAATTGCAAAATAAATTTCGGTGGTGTTTTTCAAAGCGAGGCTGTTGATATGGAATTTGACCCAACATTTTCATGGCTGTTGGCAAAACGTTTCCGGTAGAAACGCATTAGTTTCAAATGTAGCGTATTTTTCGAAAGCCGCTCTTCACGCAGAAATTTTAGCTCATAGGCCGAATTTCAGTCTATGGTAAAATTTTCGAGGTATGCCGCGGCAAATTTTATCATGGCTGATAATTTTTGCTATTTCTCTAGAGCTCGTTAATTTGTTTTTATTTCCAATTGAAGGTATAACTCCAGGTATATAGTGGAGCTCACTGGCGAACATGAGCCTTGTTTTATATCGTATTTCTATTTGTTCAAACCGAGGATTCATTTTCCTTAAAACTTCATTTCGCCCAATTTCGGTCTGTTCGGGTTAAAAAGACGCAGACCTAAACAGTGTCATGCGTCCTTAAATCCCTCTATCCTACAAGTGTACCTGTATGCATCATTTTCACCTTGATTGTTCCCTGTTGTCCTGTCATCTCTTGTTGAATATCCCCAATATATTTACCCCAGATGGACCAAGGTTTACACGCCTAAAACACAAGTTGACAATGTTGTATTATACATGCAAAAACTCATATTGTTGTTCTTATTGTTGTTATTGTGTTGTTGTTGCTGTGTTGTTATTGTTATTGTTGTTGTTGTTGTTGCTATGTTGTTGTTGTTATTGCTGCAGGTGTTGTTGTGTTGCTGCTGCGTTGTTGTTACAGTTGTTGTTATTGTTGCTGCTATTGCCGCAGCTGTTGCTATGTTGTTGTTGTTGTTGTTGTTGTTGTAGTTGCTGTTGTTGTTGCTGTGTTGTTATTGTTATTGTCGTTGTTGTTGTTGCTGTTGTTGTTGTTATTGCTGCAGGTGTTGTTGTGTTGCTGTTGCGTTGTTGTTGTTGCTGCTATTGCCGCAGTTGTTGCTATGATGTTGTAGTTGTTGTTGTTGTAGTTGCTGTTGTTGTTGCTGTGTTGATGTTATTATTGTTGTTGTTGCTATGTTGTTATTGTTATTGTTAGCGTTCTTCTTGTTGCTGTTGTTGTCGGCGTCATTGTAGTTGCTGTGTTGTTATTGTTATTGTCGTTGTTGTTGCTATGTCGTTGTTGTTATTGCTGCAGGTGTTGTTGCGTTGTTGTTGCAGTTGTTGTTGTTGCTGCTGCTATCGCCGCAGTTGTTGCTATGATGTTGTTGTTGTTGTAGTTGCTGTTGTTGTTTTGATGTTATTATTGTTGTTGCTGTGTTGTTATTGTTAGTGTTCTTCTTGTTGCTGTTGTTGTCGGCGTCATTGTTGTTGCGTTGTTGTTTGTGTCATTGCTGTTGTTGTCGTTCTTCTTTTTGTCGTTATTGCCATTTGTTGTTTTTGATATTGTTGTTTTTGATATTGTTGTTTTTGATATTGTTGTTTTTGATATTGTTGTTTTTGATATTGTTGTTTTTGATATTGTTGTTTTTGATATTGTTGTTCTTGGTGATGTTGTCGTAGGTTGTTAATGTTCTTCATCATATCACATTAACCTAAGTGCTATATACTCTGAAAGCAACAGATTCAGACAGATACAACTACATGAAAAATATAAACAGAACTTCCACGTTCTCTCATTCCGCCAGCTGTCTTGTTATTAGGGACCTTTAGCAAATAGGTGACGGCAACGCGATGACGACGGCCAAAATAAACTCGTTCGAATAAGTAACTTTAGGATCAACATGTCTTGTATTATCCGTTGTATGAATTAATTGCAATTTAAGAAGGTTAAGACAGAGGTTTGTAGTTGAGAAGACTTCTACTAAGCCAATTTGGCGAGGACGACTTCTCGCGGCTTGCAAGGCAGACGTTGTGTACAAAACGTGAAAATCTTTGGTTTGCTGTTGTAAACAGAGCAAGGACGACGTCTAAAACTCCCATGGAACCTCGAAGTATGCATTTTCTATCTACACTGTCATAAATTTCATTGTATTAATAGCCGTCGCCGTCCTGCTAGCTAAAGATCCCTAGGGATTCAGGGGAGATAATAGAGTTTCAAAACTTTACAATTGCTCCAATAAACCAGTGAATGCAAGCGAGGAGCGAGTAGTTTCAGAGTGTTGCACTGTCTTTTTCTATTTGAGTCTACTCCTACGTTTATTTTGTACCATCAACACTCTGCACGTTGGAGTGGATTATTTAATTATTTTTTATTATGCCGAATATTGGGGGGGTTGAAAATTTTTTTGGAGGGGTGGACATTTTGTTTGGGGGGGTTATAGCTAATATTGGGGGGTAGCCTGCCCCCCCCCACAAAATCCGTACATGATTTTTCTGGTAGTTGCATCCCTACCAACGACAGCTACCCTGGCACAGATCGTTCGTGGCTATATACTCACCCTAACATGCCATGTTGTTTTCTCATGACCATCAGTAGAAATAAAATAATACTATGAAACAAGTTGTTTCTGCCCTGAAAACACGAAAATACGATAATATTAAGGAAACTTGTATACGTCAAAGATTTCTGTATAGCAACCTTACAGAGAAATCAAACCATCAAGCTGTAAAGTGCTCAAATCACAGAATAGGAAGGTACAGCAGAAGCGTAACTTGAGTCGGTTCCTTTATTGTTTTATGTCCACGAAAATTTTAACTCGCTCACGCCATCCTTGCTAATACAGCCGGAAGTTTTTATCAGGTTTTGGTAGGTACAAAGTGCCGGTTGTACTAGCCAGGATGGCGTGATTGATGACGAATTGCTTGTAAAAACGCGGACAAATACTTGCTTGAGTTACGCTTCTGCTGTACCTTCCTATTCTCTGCACCCTACGTTATTAATTTATTCTGTTATTCGATTATAATCGTCAAGGGAGGAGGCATTAATGGGATTAAAGATATTTTGGGAGGGAGGTCATTTAGATTTCTCAAAGAGAGCGAGGCGCACGTCCTTTAAAATTTTAATTAAATTACTTACCTTGCCAACATCATACACATCATCACCAGTTATAACCTAAACATACAGAGTCATTATATTCATCAAATGCTAACACTGAACCTACTACTCCAGGGTAAAATCGATTATAAACTGCTTTACTCTTTGTTGACCTTGTGTTTATTTTCAATATATAGAGGATATTACACGGCGGCGCGAAGATAGGAACTTATTGCCACAGCGATAAGAGTTTTTATTGCTTCCCGGAATAATTTATAGTTGAAATTAATTATGCGAAATAAGTTATTTGCGCGCGCAAGTTAATTTAAGTGTAGTCACGTGATTGGAAATTTCGGTATTTATCAGTGGCGAAGCGGGCCATCTTTCCTTTCCTATTCCATATGGGCTGCAGTTCACATCAAGAAATTGGATGGAAGAGAATTACCCACCCTCCTCCCCGTTGTTGGACGCGATATGTTGAACTTATATAGATACGTTATGTATAGTGGACGTTAGTAATGCCCCCACCTTTTCTGTGCTAAATGTTATATAGTTATTAATTAATAATTTTTCTTGTTAATTATTAAAAATCGATTAAAACAATAAAGCGGCTATGTGCCAACAACCGGGCACATAAGCCATAATTATGCCATAAAGGCTTTGACTGGTCTTGTAGTATTCGGCAGCACAGAAAACCGAGCTCAGCCTGACAAACAGTTTGCCGATGGTGGTTTAATATATGCAGGGAAGCGATAAATGACTTTTATCTTTGAGTGGTGAAAACAATATTTTACGAACGAGCGCAGCGAGTGAGTAAAATATTGTTTTTCACACGAGAAGATAAAAGTCATATCTTCAAGCCACCGTGTAATGTTCTGTGAAATTCCACGCTCAAAAGCAAATTGTCAAGTGATCGATATCTTCACCAGTAAAGATACGGAAAATATCTCACTGTATATTTTTCAGTACATCTCACTCGGTACTATATAATAAAGTCGCATATATAACGTACCTTAAAATGCGGTGGATTCTGTCGAAATCTGTGAATTGCGAGGTCCCGCTTTCTGGACTCTATAAAAATAATTATGTATATCAAGTATCAACGATGCAAGTTTGTATGTACTAGATAAAGCATGAGCGGCGGTGTTGTACCAGATATACAAACTCGAGCCGAATTTAAAATTAAACTTCAAGTTTATGTAAATCAGCATGATTCTGTATGAGATATACAAACCCTTTCACGCTCATGATTTCTTTTGTGATTTCTTCATGAGTTATTAATGAGTTTCACAAAGTATGGTATAGTATGGTACATGGTATTGTATGGTACATGGTACATGGTATGGTGGTACATGGTATTGTATGGTACATGGTATTGTATATGGTGAGGTATGTCCTATCACATCATACCATATCACACCATGGTATGGTATATGATGTGGCATGGTAAGGTATGCTGTGATATGACATGGTATGGTATGGTATTGTATGACATGATATGGTGTGGTATATCATATCATACAATATCTCGTTGAATATCTTCGGCATAAACATTCAACATAGATGTTTATGACGTTGAATATCGTCGGCATAAACAAATTAGACGTTTATGCCGTTGAATATCTTCGGCATAAACATTCAACTTAGATGTTTGTGACGTTGAATATCTTCGGCATAAACATTCAACTTAGATGTTTGTGACGTTGAATATCTTCGGCATAAACATTCAACTTAGATGTTTATGACGTTGAATATCTTCGGCATAAACATTCAACTTAGATGTTTATGACGTTGATATCCAACGTCATAAAAATTAAACTTAGATGTTTATGACGTTGATATTCAACGTCATAAAAATTAAACTTAGATGTTTATGACGTTGATATTCAACGTCATAAACATTCAACTTAGATGTTTATGACGTTGATATTCGTCGATATTCGACGTCATCAACACGATCAACTGTGGTGTTTATGACGTCGATATTCGACGTCATAAACATGATCAAATTTGGTGTTTATGACGTCGATATTCGACGTCATAAACACCATCAAGTTTGGTGTTTATGACGTCGTTATTCGACGTCATAAACATGATCAAATATCGTGTTTATGACGTCGATATTCGACGTCATAAACACGATCAATTTGGTGTTTATGACGTAGATATTCGACGTCATAAACACGATCAACTTTGGTGTTTATGACGTCGATATTCGACGTCATCAACACCATCAAGTTTGGTGTTTATGACGTCGATATTCGACGTCATCAACACGATCAAATTCGGTGTTTATGACGTCGATATTCGACGTCATAAACACGATCAAATTTGGTGTTTATGACGTCGATATTCGACGTCATAAACACGATCAAATTTGGTGTTTATGACGTCGATATTCGACGTCATCAACACGATCAAATTCGGTGTTTATGACGTCGATATTCGACGTCATAAACACGATCAACTTTGGTGTTTATGACGTCGATATTCGACGTCATAAACACCATCAAGTTTGGTGTTTATGACGTCGATATTCGACGTCATAAACACCATCAAATTTCGTGTTTATGAAGTCGATATTCGACGTCATAAACACCATCAAGTTTGGTGTTTATGACGTCGATATTCGATGTCATAAACACCATCAAATTTCGTGTTTATGAAGTCGATATTCGACGTCATAAACACGAT